TCAAATACAATCACCTTTATGTATTCTTCTGGTTTGTTCACAACTGCATCCTATACCAAAAGTAAGACATCAAGATGAACAATATTTAGGTAGACAGGAACAGTTGGCCCTATAGTGAATGATCTTAACACTTACTATAGATAGCTGGATAAAGGTAAGACTTAGAACTCATGAAATCCCGAAGAATATATGCATTCATTCATTCAACAACTTTTAGTGAGAGCCAACTAAGTATGTGCTAGCTAAGCATGTACTACACAAGTGCTAGAGATAAAAGGAAAAATAAAATATATACAACTCACAATAATACAATGTAGCATTATATAAACAAATTGCAAAGAGAAGAAATGAGAAGGATTCATTAATGTGGTGGGAGGCAGCTTTCTAAAATGACTCCCAGTGATCCCTGCCTCTGTTATTTATGCTCTTGAATAATCCCCTCCCCTTAAGTGTGGTCTGGATGTAGTGCTGCTTATAATGAATAGAATAATAGTTAAAGTAATGGGATGTCACATCCAAGATTAGGTCTAAAATATTATGATTTCCATCTTGCTCACCCTCTATCTTTGGCTCTTTCTCTTGCTGGCTCTGATGAAGCAAATTGCCATTTTCTGAGCTGCCCCAGTGGAGAGTTCCACATGGGAAAGTACTGAGGGCAAACTTTGGACAATAGCAAACAACTAAATCTTGCCAATAATAATATGAATGAACTTGGAATTGATTCCTTTCTAATAGAGCCTTGAGATGAATACAGCCCTGGCCAGCATTTTGATTGCAACTCTGTGAGTGTTCTGGAGTGGAGGACCCTGTTCCTGACCCACAACAACACAAGATAATAAATGTTGTTATAAGCGATTAAGTTTTGGGGTAATTTGTTATGCAGCAATAGATAACTAATACAATTAGGAAGAAAAGCAAGGGCAATGAAAACAGAAGGAACAGCACTTGCAGAGATGAGAGGGGAAAGTATAGGTTAAATTCCGGAATGACAAATGATCTTGTGTGGTTATAGCATGGAGTATCCTTTTAAGAATGACTCAAGGTAAGGTTTGAGATGAGGGGGCGCCTGGGTGGCTCAGTCGTTAAGCGTCTGCCTTCGGCTCAGGTCATGATCCCGGGGTCCTGGGATCAAGCCCCGCATCGGGCTCCCTGCTCCGCAGGAAGCCTGCTTCTCCCTCTCCCTCTCCCCCTGCTTGTGATCCTGCTCTCACTGTGTCTCTCTCTGTCAAATAAGTAAATAAAATCTTTAAAAAAAAAAGGTTTGAGATGAGGATTGGAGACCAAATTGTAAAATGTGTTTAATGTCATTTGTATCAATTAGTCAGGGTTCCCTCAAGGGAAACAGAAACCTTTCCAAATATTTTAAACAGAAAAAGTTTAATATAGGGAATTAGGTACTTATGAAATCATTAGAAGTGCTTAGAACTAAGCACTATAGTTATGACTCTAATTGCCTCTCAATACCCATGAAGCTAGGCTAGATTCTGGAACTTTGTTGCAGAAAAGTCCAGTATCTCCATGATCATGCTTGCCTGTAGCAGTAGCTGAAGTAGCATAAAGTTGGTCTTTTCTTCTTTATGCCTTCTTACTCATGTGGTTGTGCATTAATTGGTAGAACTTATTTGATTCCAGAAGTCCAGCTGTAGATAATCTGGAGGGAGTAGTTTCAGTTTTTCATCCTCTACAGTTTAGGAAGGCATACATTTAAAATGGATGCTAAATGCCAACTCACCATATCCACTTAATATAGTAATGTGTTTGGATTTGCTTCTGGAGAAAAATGGGGAGCCCTCAAAGGTCCGAGGAATGGCATAATAAGCTCTGCATCTGAGAAAATTCATTTATGTAGTATAAGAGGGTGGACTGTAGGTGTGACAGAGAGGTTGCTGAGACTGGAAACAGAGCAATAGTATAGAAGAAAAGTGATAAGAGCTTGAACTCAGGTCTGGGAAATAGCATGGAGAGGTCAGAGAATGTGTAAGACAAAATAAATTGAGTTCATTCCAATTCAGTTAATATCTAATGCCACCATTCAAACTCTGTCCCTTAATTCATGTACCCTGAGTGATACTACTCTAGGGATTGTATTTTTTTAATGTAATGATGGTACTCCAGGAACTATACTTTCTTCCTGTATTATCAAGTCTAATAATTCTTTATCCTTTATTAAGTTTAGGTCTCTATGATTCAGGCTTGGAGTGGTGCTGAAGTGAAAGAAATACGGCACACAACCAAAATTAATTTCAAAATAATCCTTTTTTCCCCCATTTCTCAAAAACTATGATCATACATATGCCACAGCAAAGTTTGTAAGAATTTCCTTCTGATCCTATCTACTTGCATCACAGCCCCCAACTACTCTGGGGCATCTCCTTCCATAAAGCCCCCAAATCTCTCTTGACACCTAGCCCTCTGTGATTCCTTTCATCCTCTCATTTCTCTTTCATCCCTGCCTCCTTCTCATTCCTAAGGTTGACTTAGACTCTCTCCAACAAAGTAAACCTTTCCTTTTTTGAGAGGGAGATACAGGGAAAATTAGATTGGCAATTGGAGAAGTAAAGTTTGCATGTTAATGTTTGTCCTGCCACAGTTTTCACTGTCAACTATTAGATATTTATCTCATTTTTTACCTCCAAACTAATTCCTCCTTATTCCCTACCAAAACACTTGCATGTTAATGGCTTAAAAATCTTTATCTTTAGTTCTGCCTTTCCCCAAATCTAAAAATTTACCTGTCTTCTAGATACTTCCACCCAGATATTGTTTCTGTAGCAGAAACAACACATTCTCAAGCCAAGCTCATTATCTTCTATCTCAAATATGCTTCCTTTTTCCTCATACCCTAACTTGGCTAGTGAAATAACCATTCGTGTAGTTGCCCAAATTGAAAACTCCAGTGTCATTTTTGAGTTACTTTAATATCTCATCAATTAGCCGGTATTTCTGATGTTAGTCTCAGAAATACCTCTGGAATCCATTTTCTGTCCTATCTGCATTGCCATAGTCCAAGCTCTTATCATTTCACACTGGCATGCTTTGTCTTACTGTTTCTAATCCCTCTTTTCTGTAGTTCAGTGATTCCCATTCACTGATCCTGGGACCAGCTAGATCAGATTCTCTGGGAGTTTTTTGCTTTTGTTTATTTGTTTGCTTCCGTACAGCTCTCTAGGTCCTAAACATGAAAAAACATTCTGATTCTTTTGGGCTGGGTTGGGGGCCCATGATCTTGAGCTTTTACAAATCTCCATAGATGGGTTTGATGATCAGCTAGGTTTGGCTTAACAATTTCTTTAGTCCGTATTTTACACCACTACCACTAGAATAATTTCAGAATCCCAAAAATCTTTTTTTTTTTTTTTAAAGATTTTATTTATTTATTTGACAGAGAGAGACAGCGACAGCAGGAACACAAGCAGGGGGAGTGGGAGAGGGAGAAGCAGGCTTCCCGCCAAACAGGGAGCCCGATGTGGGGCTCGATCCCAGGACCCCGGGATCATAACCTGAGCCGAAAGCAGACGCTTAACAACTGAGCCACCCAGGCACCCCCAGAATCCCAAAAATCTTATTACGTCTCTGTGATGATCATAATGCTGTGATGCTTTCCTTTGCCAGTCAGGAGCCTAGGAATGAAAACACCACAGTACTGGTCACTTGCATACCTTCCCAGCTTCATTTTTTCCCATCTTTTCCCTATTACCATGATACCGGAGACTGCAGCCGCAATATACAACTGGTTATCCAGGCCTAAATTATAGCATTTAGTATAGTTAGGTTCAAAGTACTTCGAGTTATAAATTGTCTCTCTCTCCTTCCAGATACTGAGCTCTCTCTCTTTGCGTAATGGTAATGGTATGTGTATGTAGTGGGCAAGGCTGGGGTAGGGGGACGGAATGTGGAAGGAGAGACAATTGGGAGGGTAGAAGGAGTTAGATCCCAATCATCGGACTTGCTCTCAGCATGTCCACTTTATCCTAAAAGGTTATCTTAAGTACAGCTCAGAGAATTATTTTCTCTAGTTGATTGGTAAAGGACACTCCTTTGATTGGTACTTACCAATGAGTAACTCGTCACTGGTAAAATGAGGAAAATAAGGTCCATGTAGTCAGTTTTTTGTAAAACTAGACTTATTTAATGACTTCTTTATTCTGATTTTATATCCTTGCTCTTTGTTATCTTTTGTAAAATGATAGCAATAGAAGTATAATTTTCAGATGTCTTTATCTGAAAACATTAAAAAGTTAAAAAGCCTATTTCAGCCCCTAAATTTAAAAAAAGAATCATGAGTCTATGAAATTAGAAACTACTGGGCTGCTATCGCCTGGGTGATTGGGAGAGGGCCCAGTAGCCATGAGCACTTTATTTCTAATATAATTCTCAAAAAAACCCAACCAATCAAACAAAAAAACTAGAAGAGACAAGGGCTCCCTGGAGAAGTGGCTGATTTTAGGACTGGGGTGGAAAATATATAGGATGAGCCTGGATTATTGTATAGTGTCAGAAAGTAAGGAGGTACCCAATAAAAACACAATGATGGGTGTAGGTCAGAGGGACACAGGAGCAAACTGAAAGGATTCCCAGGGATCAAAACAGGAACAATTTGAGCAAAAAATAAATAGCACTGGATTATAACATAAAGTAGAAAATAAATATTCATCCACACTGATGTAAATAAAAAATTAAATAAATTAATGAGGGAGAATAGATGACTCTCCTGTGCAGAATTCCAAATAATTTATTTAGATATTCTGCTTTTGAGGAGGCAGAGCATAACCACCCTCTATTTTTGTATGGGCTGTGCATAGTGACTTTTTTCCCGAAAGAGTACAGTATGGAAAGAGGGAAAAAGAGTAATTTTACATAGGAGAAAACTGATGAGCACTACCTCAGCCAGGTGCTCAAGGTTAACGTCCTCAGTGATAGGTCATGTTGATAATATGTATGTTTGATATGCTGTGATGAAAATAGCACTTTACCTCTGTGGTCTTTCTCCCCTTTTCCAGTGTAATCATAAGAAAACATCAGAGAAACCCCAGTTGAGGGATGTTATGCGCAATACATCACCAGTACTCCTCAAAAAAAGTTATCAAGGACAAGGAAAGTTTGAGAAATTTTCATAACCAAGAGGAGCCTACGGAGATATTACAACTAACTGTAATATAGTATTTTGCTTGGGATCCTGGAACAGTAAAACAGATATAAGGTAAGAACTAAGGAAATGAGAATAAAGTATAAATTTTAGTTAATAACGTATCAATATTGGTTCACTAATCATGACAAATGTACATACTAATAGAGAGTGTTAATAGAAGAAACTGGGTATAGGGTATATGAGAACTCTTTGTTACTATCTTCACTTTTTTTTTTTTGTAAACTTAAAACTATTCTAAAAAAGTTTATTTTTTTTTATTTATTTATTTTTTAAAAAGATTTTATTTATTTATTTATTAGAGAGCGAGCGAGAGAGAAACAGCATGAGAGGGGGGAGGGTCAGAGGGAGAAGCAGACTCCCCGCCGAGCAGGGAGCCCAATGCGGGACTCGATCCCGGGACTCCAGGACCATGACCTGAGCCGAAGGCAGTCGCTTAACCAACTGAGCCACCCAGGCACCCAAAAAGTTTATTTTTTAAAAGTAAATGGCCTAGATACTAAAGGGGGACATCCTAAATCACATCAGCACTGTCTAGAAATTTGGGCATTTCCTGGGGAACATACACAGAAGCGAATGCTCTCAGGTGGTTTTAGTATTATTAAAATGTTCTTAGGTCAAACCTAATCTTATGTATAGACTATTGTAAGGTAAACAACTAAACTTTATTTACATTTAACTAGGACATTGAATTGACAAATAATTGCTTTTGTTCCTGTTAGGAAACTTAAACCTTTTCTTTTTTGGCGTGTGTGAATGACTCTCTCATTTCTTAGTAAGAATTTATTTACTTGCATGTTGTTATTATTGTCCTTAGAAACCTACTTTTTCCTAGAGCAATTGATTTTGCTTTGGGCACTAGCCAAAGGTCTAGAGAAGGGCAATAACATGTAGGATTCTTTGCTCTGGAAATCAACATGATTCAATTCTATTCAAGCCAAAGGGCATTTATAAACTCCCACTATGTGCAAACATGTGCTGGGCCTCAAGTCACCTGCTTTACTTGAGCTTTCTACCCTTAGAAACCAGTTTGTTTTTATTGGAACTACATCAGCATGTTTATATTTGATAGTTGGCCTGGTTTTTATAAAAAGCAGATAGTTTCACAAGGGAGTGGATGTATACTGTTTGAGCCAGGGAGGCAGGCATGAGGAGGAGGCATTTCTGGGTATGGAGATCCTGTGCACCACCTAGAAACGTAATTAGATGGCTGTCTACCTGCCTTGTTTGAAGACTGGCTTTGGTAGGTTGAACTGTAGGTCTGACCTGAGTCATCCCTCATATTCTTCCAATTTCTCTTTGTTCAATGGAGAATAAAGAGAATTTGACTAGGAAGAAGGAGACTTTTAGACCAGGCTGTACTTCTAGATATCTATGACATTTGACTTCATTTTTTTTAACTTTGTGAAGAATTTTGAGAAGTTAATCTTTGATCCTTGTGCAACTTACATTTTCTGACCATATGAGCTGGACCAGTTAAGTCTTTGCTGAGGTTGGTGACTGTATCAATGAGGGAGCAGTTCTCAAAGGTTTTTTAGTGGTTCTTTTTTTTCCTTGTTATTGCAAATGGATTTAAAAATTCCCTGAAGTTGGGACGGGAGTCCTGAGTTAGTTTTCTTATTTGTTTTTGGCAAGTGACTGATTTCAAGCTTACATACTGGAATCGTTATATTGTCATTTGCAAAAAGAAGTGTAGTGGTGTAGGGAAAGGAGTATGGGGTCTGCGGTCATTCTGACTTGGGATTGAATCCTACCTTTGGCACTTAAATAGACCTGTGACCATAGAAAGTGATTTAACTCCTCTAAATCCAATTTTCTAATTAATAAAAAAATGACAGTAATAATTCTTCTCAGGGGAAATATAATGATTAAATAGCACATGTGAAAATGACTATCATTAAAAAAAAAAAATTGAAAAAAAAAAAAAAAGAAAATGACTATCACTTAGGTACTCAATAAGTGTTTTTCCCTTCTTTCCTTTCTCCTTCCCTTCCTTCCTCTCCTTCTTTTCTCCTTTCCTTTCTTCCATAATGATGAAAGTTACATATTTCATCAGTATGTTTGCAATTGGCATCTGGGATATTTATTGAATATATGTGGATGGGTGAGGTTTTTCTCCTTCCCTCTTCCTCCTCCTGAGTAGGGCATATGCCTGTCTAAATTAACAGTAGATGATAGGGGCACCTGGGTGGCTCAGTCATTAAGCGTCTGCCTTCAGCTCAGGTCATGATCCCAGGGTCCTGGGATCGAGCCCAACATCAGGCTCCCTGCTCAGTGGGAAGTCTGCTTTTCTGTCTCCCACTCCCCCTGCTTGTGTTCCCTCTCTCACTGTCTCTCTGTCTCTCTCTGTGTCAAATAAATAAATAAATAAATAAATAAATAAATAAATAAATAAAATCTTTAAAAACAAATAGTAGATGATAGTATCCTAACATACAGTATATGCTCACAAGATGGGAGATCTAAGGTGGAAGATCTGATTATTTTTCAGCTAACATATATAGAAGGAAGGCCATTACTTGGCTCTTTCTGCTTTTTCTTCTTCACTCCCTAAGAACTAGATGAGGCTGATAAAACTTAAGGACTGACAAACCAGAATTTCAAACTCACAGACCTCAGTGCCAGGAAGATTGTAAATGAGTGAAATGGGCTGGATGTGAAGAAAAAGGCAATAGTAATGAGATCCATAGGACATGGCACCTTTATTTTGGCATGAAGATGCAATAGAACACGAAGACTGTGATAAAGTGAAGCAAGTGGAGCCCTTTTAAAGGGGACAGCCACTACTTAGTTTGAGATAATTATTGCTGTGGGGGAATATGGGCTCTCTATCTCCAGATCTTCCCATTTTTTTCAAGGGAACCCAGGTATATAAATATGTGAAAACTCTTGATTTTTTAAAAAGATTTTATTTTTAAGTAATCCCTACACCCAACATGGGGCTTGAACTCACAACCCCGAGATCAAGAATCACATGCCCTACTGATTGAGCCAGGCAGGCACTGCTTGATTTTTCATTCTTGGCAATTAAACCACAATTTAAGATAATACTCTGTGGGCCAACCACAAAAGACTGTGCCAGCAGTTTATGGTCTGTGAGCTGAAAGGATCATGGAGCTAGCTAGCTGTGGGGTGACTGGTGAGGGGAAGAAGATATTAGCAGTCCAAAAGGGAAGACCAGAGAGAGGGAGAGAGAAAGCTAGAGAAACAGGACAAATGAACAATCCTGAATCCTCAGCTCCCTGTGAACTCTGAAATGGATTATAATGTAGGACCCAAATCCTAAGTAAAGGACTGTTTTATGTGTGCGTACTTGACATACTTAAAATAAGACCACCTGAAGCAAGAATAGCCCCATATGGTGATATATGTACTACCTGGTTTACAAATATTTGTTTTTCAACAACCAAAATTATCCCTCTTACTTTTGCAAAAAACAGATTACTTCAGTTTTGCATGAAAGGTATAATGCATCTATGTAAATAAGAGAGCAAAGAAATTTTCTAAATACTTTTATTTTTTTGACACAAATATCTCTGCACCTTTTGGGCTCTTCTTGCTGAAAAAAGGAGAACTGGTGATACATTTGTTAATGACATTTTAAAAATGTGTTTCAGTACATAGAGGTAATAACGTACTTTTTAAGTATGTTAATAATAAATTAAGGTTATAATGGCTGGCATGTTAGAGAAAATAATGAATAGATTAGTCTTAGTAAAAAATTAGTTTTGCAAGTAAATAAGCTAGGGATATCAAAACAGAAAAAATTAGCTTCATACATTTTACTGTATACAAGTTTTTGATAAATAACTTTCAATGATAGAATGTAATACCTTATCCAGCACCTGATATATTCAATAAATGTTTGTTAAATTTTACTGCATTTTAACACAGTAATTTTCCTCAGTAATAATTTCTCAGATAAAACTCAGATAAAAATAAAAATTCGTAAGAGATTTGTTTTGGTTCCTTGTAAAAGTGTATACTTCTAGAGAAAATAGCAGCAAGAGAAAGAAAAGAAAGTGTGTGTGTATTCGAAAAAGTGATTCCGACTCAGATTATTCAGAGGTGACTACTTTGACCCTATCTGTATTTGGAGTCCCTGCTGACAATATGCTGACAACATCCTTGGCCTCATTCTTTTTCTCTACTTATTTTGGCTTTACAGAGATCAGGTCTCAAGTCATGGGAATCTCCATGGCCTTCAGATGCTGAACTTTTCTTTCCTTCTTTTGTTCTTGCCTGGCTCAGAAGGGCGTGCCAGATGATGTATGTTACCTTTTCAGAGTGAAGAAAGGATCTGACCTGTGGAGTCAATAGAGAAAGCCTTAGTCTTGGTGGTTTCTTGGTTCTCAACTCACCTGTTCTCAGCCAACTAAGAAGCCTCTTTATAAATGTGTTCTGATTAGCTGTTTTAGGTCCCTGTGCTTTGCGAAGCTCCTTTCTCCCACAGAGATATTATTAGGACATAGCCAGGCTAGAAAGGCTGTGGGAAGCTTTGGAGGTAGGAGGATAGGATCCAGAAAGGATTGCAGTAAGAAGAAGGGAATTCCATTTGGTGAACTCCATAGTCCAAAGGTAGCCCTGAGTTGATTCCATTTAGGAACCAAGGGTGGACTTTCTTGTTTGGTTCTTCAGCCCTTTAACTTTCCCCATCTGGGGCCAGGATATGTATCAGGAAATGTGTCCTCTCATTTCTTTTTCTTCTAAACTTCTAAACTTCAGCTTCCAGGCATCGCACTGTAGTTTTGGGTGGACTCTTGGGTTCTTCTGGCTTTTTATCAGTTTTCTTTGATTCCTCATTAGGGTTGCTATCATCGGCCTTCTCCTCCTTTACTACTTTGGTTTCAATCATTTCCTTCTGCTGATTCTTGTTTGTAAAAGGAAAGGTCTTCACATACCTATAGGCATAATTATAAAATTAAAGTGAGAGATTTATTTGTAACACATACACCAATAGATAACGCTTTTTCTGTGATAGCCCGTATTAGCACAGTACATTGGATACCTTTATTTCAGAGAGATGCTAACACATGCACACTCAAATATATTAA